GAACACACCTTCTGAGGGGAGGAACAGGAAGGGATGGGGCTTAGAGTACTCGGCACATGCTGATTGGTGGTTTTATATAAGGCATATGATTAGGCACATAGGTACTTAGGAATCAAGGGCTTAGGGTATTTGGCAGGTGCTGATTGCTGGTTCAATGTACAGTCCATATAAGGTGCCTTGTTAGGTGTTCAGGAATGTCCAGGCCTCCTGTGTAGTTTACGTCGAGCATCAGTCCATCAGTTGGGGGAAGGGAGGATCCATCAATTTCCAGAAGTTGTTTGGCAATAACACCTTGTTTCTGAACAGAAATGTCAGTGGCTCTTCTTGAGACTAATGTATCAACTAATACCTAAACCCACAAAGAAGTCCAAAGTGCTAAGAGTAGATACATGCCATTTCTGTGTCCAAACATAGCCTTTCTGAATTGGGGGCTGACAGAGAGGATGGGTGACAAGCAAGTAAAAGAAGGAATCAACTGTGGTCCAGATGTGATGAAAGGTGCAAAAAGATTGTTTTTCACAGACAATTTTGGTATGGGGACGTAAGGATTGAATTAGATAATGGTTACCAAGCATCCCTTAACCTTCATGTGCCACTGTTATTGTTGACTTCAAATCATAAAGCTACTAACTTGTTTAATCTAAGTATTATTATAAGAAATTATGTATATATATATGCAATTGCAAATATGTTAATAATTATCTTTTCTAATACATATATACATATATATACATGTGTACACATGTACATATATACATATATGTAACCATTAACATCTTTTTTAAAATTTATCACTGTTAACTAAAATCATCATATGTACCATCTGTGGTTGAAGTATCATACTTTGGGACATTGAACTAAAATTAAGAGATGCTAGTCTTGTCCTTTCATTGTACAAAACATAAATTTGCAAGAAAATATGAAAAATAAGATTTGCATGTAAGAGGTGTAGAAATGCTCGGGGCTGAGAGAGAGCCTAAGACAAAGGATGGTAAATTAAAATGTTATGCAGAGGGTCTCATCAGGATGGGGTGAGAAGGACAGGGGAGAGGTCTGGAGTCACTGGCCACTGTAAGATACAAGGGCTGCCTCTGTGCCCAGAGCCTGGGATGCTAGAGAGTAGGGAGGCACAGCCAACTACCAAGCACCAAGGAATAACCAAAGACTGGAATCATTATCCCAGTCCACACCAGAGTCAACTGCTGAAGGAAGGTGGTTATTTTTTTTTCTTTTCCTAAAGAGAAACAAATAAACACCTTCTTCAGCACTTCTGTTGTGAAACAAATATTGTTTTCTGTTCACTTTTTCATTCTGTCTCTGACACTATGTTTGTTACTAGGAAACAGCAATAAGCCCAGGTTTTGACTGAATGTAATATCATCCTAATTATCCAGGGTTGGGAGCCTACTGCAGTGGTGATGCATGAAATACTGTGATATAAAAATCATAGAATATAACATTTTAAGAAAAGAAAATGTGGAAGTCAAAGGCTTCTTCACTTAAAAATATTTATTGAGATGCATATAGAGTAATTTAAAAAACACAACAGTATTAATGAATCCAAAGCAAGGTTTTAAAACAAAGCCTTAAAATAATTGATTGAAACATATGAAATTGCCAATATTTGCTGGTTTTGATCTGCAGATAAGAATTTCATAGCAGTCCATCAACATACACTCTTTGGTTAACAGGTTAACAGTGTTCACTCCAGAGAAGAGGGCTGAGATCAAGAGAGGGAGGGAAACATTTTACTTTGTACACGTTTGAATTATTATTTTAAACCAGGGACTTGAGGGGGAGTATATTCATGCATTTCTTGGTTTCATAACAGAAAACAATCATAACTAGCTTTTCACAAATTGACTGCATTAGAAAATAGACATTTCTAAATGACATGGCCTACAAGGCAAATTTATTTTAACCACTGTGATAGCAAATGGGGTATACCGATTGGCAGAGAAGGAGCCTCTTGCTTCAGTTATCTTGGGCGGCTTTATTCTGGAGGATGGCTGGGGGCTGATGGGGTCCTGCTGCAGGTGGCCATGCTGGTCGGGGCAGTTGCCAAGTAGATGCCAAAGTGACTTCAGTGCAAGTCTTACTAATGGAACCCATCTCCTCTTTCTGAGGAGACTGGGTTCATGTGATATACATATGTGTGGCTGCAAACATTCAACTCCCTTCTCAGGTGCACATTCTTGTTTTTATATTTTCCTGCAAATTCTTATAAATTCATGTTTTTCCACGGACAGGGCAAACTATTTTTAGCTTACAATCAAGGCAACTATAGAAATCAATTAAGCTTACACTTGGATTTAATAAAGGCCTGTGATGTAAATAAGTATTCTCTGCAAATATTTTAGGTATAAAGAAACACTTCTATATTTTGATTTGAGGTTCTACTATGTTCTAACTCTGGATTGCAAATTTGTAAAATTATAAAACTAAGCAATAATAAATTCTTTAAGGAAAACATGATAGGAATCATTATGTAATGAGGCAGATGTCCCTATATGGTACTTTTTTTGTCCCAAGACCTAAGAATGAGACATCTTTATTCCTTAAAGTAATTGGTGTTTAGGCAAATTCCCGGTACCAAGTCTTGCAAATTTACATATGATCAAATAGTCTAATGAGATGAGGCGTTTGCTGACATTTGGATTACCAATGGACATTTTAAAAGGCGGGGGACAGGGAGCTGGGACACTGTCAGCAGCTCAAGAGCAAAGATTTCTAAAGGAAAGTCGGATTTCCTAGGCTTTCCCATTGGGCTAAGCAGAATACATTGTTTAGCCCTGCACTAGAGCAACACCTTTATTAATTATGCAAACTCTTTTTTGGATGGGAAAAAGAATTTGAGGATGACTCAGCAAGAGTTTTCAAAACCAAATACCTCCACCAGCCCATTAAACATGCTCTTTTCAAACCTGCTCTCTGCTCTGTGACCTGGGGGTTACCGAGTTTGAGATCTGCATAAGAGGGGCTGCTTCTCTTGCCAGTCAGTCCTCCCATCTTTTTATTTTTAGTTTAAGTTGGAAATAGTTGGTACTTCAAGATTAGCCTCTAATTTTTCTTCAACCAACATAAAACCGGATCAAATCCCCTAACCAAAGATCTGGTCTACCTGTCAAAGGGGTGTGTGTGTGTGTGTGTGTGTGTGTGTGTGTGTGTGTGTCTAGTTACCTTCATATTTCCCTTTAAATGAGCCGGTATGTTGATGGGAGCTTGGGAAAGCTAAATGTTAACATGTAAAGGCAACTTGAGGTTTTTTTAGAAGTCCCCGCTACCGTTGACAGTTCAAGATTTAGTTGGAAAGGAAAGGCTCCCAACCACCAGTCCCTTGGATATCTGGGGGACTTCTCACCTATTTTGGAAACCACTTGCAGATGTGGGCAAACCTCTGCATTGCTCACACCGGGGGGTTTTGCAGAGATTTCCTCTGATTTTTTTTTCTTCTTCTTCCCAATTTCCCACAGCCTGTGTTTGTCTTGTGTCTGCTAGGCTGACATGCGGTTTACCTCGCGGATCCCGCTGCCAGGTTTTACACCCTCTTCTCCGGTGTAAAACGGCTCAAGCCCAAGGATACCGAGCAGTTCTGGGCGCGGGCGCCAGAACTGTCATAGAAAATTTGCTTCCCGAGTATCCCTTCCAACTTCCCTGCCTGCGCCCACGTGAGCCGCAACGCCAGCCCATCAGCAAGGTCTTAGCGTTTCCTGCGGCTGCAATCTGTAACTTGACTTTGAATGTGTGTGTGTTTTTTTTCTCCCTAATTGTAGTTTTGAGGAGCTTGGTTTTTAGCAAAAGTTTTTGATTTGGGGGATTTAAAACTGTTTCCTTACCTAAGCCACGGAGGCTCCGGACACTTCCCCCCATCCCTGGGTTGGACTCACGTTAATGGGCAGCGAAGGAAAGACACACACTGGCTGTTTGGGGGGGGGGAGGGGAAGGCAGAGATTTGGAGCTAAGTTATGATCCCCTCGCACCACTCCCCGGCCTGACACTCAAGACTGACACGGACATCACCTATTCATTGCTGTTCGAGGACGCAGATACCTATTCTACCCATTAAAAAAAAAAAATCTCCGGTAAAATAGAAATGGCACATTCAGCGCGCTCGCGTCTGTTTGTTTGTCTAAGGCTATCAAAAGAAGTCACCGAGGAGGCTGTGGCCCGGATCCTGACCCTGATTGTATGAATAAGTAAGCAGGATGCAAGTGATTGGGTTAGATGCGGCGAAGATTTTTTTTTTTTTTCAAGTTAGGAAGAGGGTAAAAAGACAGCCTGGGGTGGGGGGAAAGGCAAACATTGCATCCCCCAGTCCTCGGACTCCGTCCTCAGACTCCGGCTTTCCTTGCAGTCAGTCAGTTGCTTTGCTGGCTCTGGCAGCAGGCTCCTAAGGTCTCAAGGCGTAGACGATGCCTGCCCCCCACCCCCTTCCTCGGTCTCCCCTTTCAGTTCAGATGTGCTGATGTGCTGACCGGATTCATCTTCCCGGAGCGGCGGCGGCGGCGGCGGCGGGCGCAGGCGGCGGCGGCTCGCACTCGGCCGCCCAGTCGGTCCCGGCGGGGGCGGCGGCGGGGGGCGCGGGAGCCGGAGCTCCGGGTGCAGCTGAGCCCGCGGGGCTGCGGGCCAGTCCGGCCGCCAGAAGGGACGACCTGGCCGGCGGCGAGCGCCCGCTCCGCCCGCCCGCCCTCCCGAGCCGAGCGCGCCCGCAGCGGCTCCTCCCCGCCTGCGGGAGCCCAGCTCCTCACCTGCCCTCCGCCCACCCGCGGGCCCTCCGCCAACTTCTCTCTCTGCCACCGGGGGTCACAGGCACGGCTCGCCCCCCTCTCCTGTCCCAACGGCACACGCATGTCTCCGGACACCTGAGCACCCCGGTCCCGCCGCCGAGGAGCCTCCCCGCGGGGACAGGAGCGCCGGCCCCCGGGACCCCCGCACATCGGCGCAGAGCGCGGGCGCCTCTCCGCCCGGGCCGGTCCCCTCCTTTCCCTCCGGGGAGGAGGATGGGGCTGGAAACGCGCTCCCCGAGGATGCTCTGGTGGCTGGTGGCCTTGGGGGTTGTGTTCTACGGGGAGCGGTGGGTCTGCGCTGGCCTCGATTACGATGACACTTTGGAGGGGAGCGAAGAGGAGAAGGAGGAGGCGATAGATTACAAGGACCCGTGCAAAGCCGGTGAGTGCGCTCTCTCTCCGGGTGGGGACGGGGCGCGCGGGGCTCCGCGGCGCCCGGTGGTCTGTGGGCGGCGGCGGGAGCTCACCTGTTTCCTTCGCTCCCTTGCCAGCCCCTCTGCCGCCCCTCCTTCCCTTCCCTCCTTCTCTCCCCCTCCTTTTCCCGCCCCTCCCGGCGCCCCAAAAGCGGCAGCCGCCGCGGCCCGAGGTGACCGGAGTTGCGTGCTAGCGGCACCGGGTGCCACGCGCCAGGCTGCCAGTTTGGGGAGAAGCGTCCTGGAGCGGCTTTTCCCCCGTCTCCCTCCCCCAGCAAAGCGAACGGAGGTGTAAACACAGCTGGCCGCCGCGGGTTTTAAATGCCGGCTCTCCGCCCGGCGGGCACGACACCTCCCCTTTGTTCCCCCGACGGTGGGTGGGGATGGAACTGCTACCTCGGGACCCGGGTGCTCCCTCCCTCCCGGCCAGGGATTTCCCGTGTGGCTTCCAGGCGAGAAGGGGGTTGGGACGCCCTTGGAGGCTCTCCCGCTGGAAGGAATTCCAATGCATGTGCCCATTAAAAAAAAAAAAAGAAGAAGAAGAAGAAGAAAAAAGAAAGAAAGAAAGAAAGAAAAGAAATCAAAGTTGCCACCCCATTCAAACTTGTGTCTTCCTTCCGGCGGCGTACACCCCCGGGTGGGGACTGCATCGGACCGGGCACCGCCTGAAGCCCAGGCTTCTCCGCGCCCCGCGCCCCGGAGCTCCCGGGACCTCCCCTCCCGGAGCGCGCCCCGCGCCCCTGCGGGTCTCTCCCCCGCGGTCTCTCCCCCGCGTCCCTGCGGGTCTCTCCCCCCCGCCCCTGCGGGTCTCTCCCCCGCGGGTCTCTCCCCCGCCCCTGCGGGTCTCTCCCCCGTGGGTCTCTCCCCCACGTCCCTGCGGGTCTCTCCCCCCCCGCCCCTGCGGGTCTCTCCTCCGCGGTCTCTCCCCCGAGCCCCGCGCCCTTGCGGGTCTCTCCCCCGCGCCCCTGCGGGTCTCTTCCCGGCGCCGGGCGGCGCTTCCCTCCCGCCGCCCCGGACCCGGCTGCACGTGCCGAGGCGGAGACCACGTGAGCGCCGCGCCCCGGGCCGCCCGCGCCCGCCGCGCCTCCCGCGGGGCTCCCGGCGCCCCGGACCTGGCTCTGCGGGACGGAGGTGGAGGGGACCCCGGAATCAGTGTGGACCTGTGACTGCCTTCTGAAGGAAGGTTGCAGGGGTGCTGGGGACCGAGCTGCCAGGGAGAGTGTTTGGGAGCGGAAGGCGTGCTCTGCCCATCCCGAGAGGCGTGGGCCCTGCGGGGGCGGGGGAGGGAGTGGGCAGAGCCCCGCAAACATCTTGGCGTCTCCGGATGGTGTGCGGGGCTCCTGGGTCTGTGACTGCGAGTGCTTCCCTTTTCTGGCTAGGTAAACCTGGTTCCACCTCTCTGGCGCCCGGGGGAAGGGGAGGTGGAAAACTGATGGAAATTCCCTGGTCAATTTCTGCCTCCGGTAGCACATTGTTCTGACAAGGAGGATGTGTGTGTGTGCTCCGTTCGCATTATCAGATCTTTCCTGGTGAGCTCTTGCTGCAGATACTTCATCAAAACTCGAAGTAGCTTAGAAGAAACTTGTCAGTCCGGGACAAACATGCACAAAACACAACAACCCTGATTTAATTCATTTTGGCTTATACATTTTCTCCTCTCACCTTTAACACTTAGTGGATCACACTAAAAGTTTCTTGGGCCTTGCCTGGTCATTTGGAGGACAGGCTGTGCTTCTGCCAGGGGTAGCTAGTGGCTGAGCAACCAAAATTCAGTACAACTTATGAACTTTTTATTGAGTAATTTGTTTTTTAATAATATCCACAACCAGGTGAAAATGGTGCACTTTATTGTTTTAGGTAAGGTGGAAATGAAAGTATGTTAGTTCTAAACATTGTCTAGGAAAACTGTTCTACTCTGTTGCGTGCAAGATTCAACCAGCCATCAACCTGAGCTGAACAGGGCTCAGTTGGCCCAATTCCAGGGAAATAAATACAGGTTTGTACACAGATTGAAGAAAAGTGCCTGCCTTTTAAACAGCATTAGTTTCAAATGTGACTATATAATAAGCAGTGTCAAAAATTAGTTAATGCATTTTCAGCAGTTATGTCATTCCAAGCTTATCTTATGTTAGAAATTGTCCAGAAGAAGATTTTGTGAACACAAGCGGTCTCTTTTCTATTTATGAATATTTTCAGTTTTTAAAATTTTAGTAGTTGCCATGTACAGATTGAAACATCTCAGCAAATAAGGTGTAGGGTAAGGAAAAATAACCTTCACCAGCATTTACTTTTGTTTTTCCTTTAACACAGGTTTATTTTGAACACCACTGTTGAAGTTAAAACAACCTTGAATAGATTATTAATCTAATCTTATTTCTTCCCTGTCTTTGAGTACCAGAAGCATGCTTGTGTAGTGAAAGTGAAATAAGAATGACCCAAGTGGAAGGCTGAGAAGTTTGCCCAAAATCTGAGATCACTTTTTAAAGTATCAACTCTGCTTTTTAATTTAGTGAAATGAAAGGCTTTACATTTACCATCTTGGCTAAAGAATGGCAAAATCTTTGTGCCTCCCTTTTGGCACTGTATAAGAGAAAAGTTGTAATGACAAAAAAAAAAAAAAAAATAGTACATTGAAATCCCAAACAAGAGTCAAAAAAAAAAAAAAAAAGTCCCTAAAGTGAGATGAGGACAGATATGTGAATGATGGCCACTCAAAAGCAAAAAGGACTGTGCTCTCCAGACTCCAGGCCACCTTTGACCTGCCCTTTCCAAAATTCTGAGTGGAGGGCTTGGCCCTGGAATAAAGTATTCTTTCTGAACTTTTCTAACAGGGGTCCTAATATTCTTCTAGCTTGGTGTCCAAAAGCTTTATGGCTTCAGAGCACATTTGAGCACATTATTTTAACTGAACACTACAGCTCTGTATGGTAGAGTTTATTAATCTTCCCATTACACAGATTGGAAAACAGATGCTTGGTGAAGTTAAATGTGTTTGCTAAGATTACTCATAACTTAATTTTAAGTCTCCTGGCTGCAAAGTCTGGTTGTATGAAATGGTTACTGCAGTCTTAGCTGGCCTTTTGGAAGCCTTCCTTGAAATGCAAACAATAGAAATCCATCCAGGTTTACCTGGAGTCTAGACTAAGAAAAAATGCAGTTACTTTTATATCTGATATGAGTGGAATGGCTAAGAAAATAGTTTCATCTTTTCCAAACCCAATTAGAATATAAAGTCCTTGTCCTAGCTGGTTTGGCGCAGGAGATAGAGCATTGGCCTGCGAACTGAAAGGTCCCAGGTTCAACTCTGGTCAAGGGCACATGCCCGGGTTGCAGCTCGATCCCCAGTAGGGGGCGTGCAGGAGACAGCCCATTAATGATTATCTCTCATCATTGATGTTTCTATCTCTCCCTCTCACTTCCTCTCTGAAATCAATATACTGTATATTTTTTAAAAGAATGTATAGTTTTTGAGATCAAAAGTCATGCCTGATTTTTAATGTTTATCACAGGATGGATTACTGTTAGGTGTGTAGTTTGTTCTCAAAACCTATAGATTATTAATATTGATCTTTACCCCTTATCTACAAACTTTTGTTCTAACCAAATTCAAATGTTATCCAAGGAGGAATATTCATAATGATAACTTGTGCCATACTCAATACATTTGTGAAACAATACTTAATATATTTGTGAAACAATCACAACTCTGACTTCATGAATTCATAAAACTAAATCAAAAAAGAAATCTTGTATTAATTTAATTGAATTTTGATTTCAAAAGGCATTTTGGGTATATGTGAAAGTAAGTAGTTAGTGCAGCACAGCTTCAGATATATTTATGCAGCCAAATCCATTAGGACAGAATATAGGTAATTAATGTCTGTATAAATAGACACAAAGATGCAGATAATTCAAAGGAGTGCCTGACGGCCTTTCTCCAGTGCAGTCCATGGCCACCTGAATTTGCAATCAGATTTCTCTTACTCTCTCCAGTGCAGAATGGTCTTGTGGGACCTTGGGACGCTGATGCTGCAGGAAGTCCTTCCAGAACAGAGACCGAAGTATCCTGTTTCACTGTTGAACTATTCTAATAGATGTAAATCTGAGTGTTAATATGTGAAGAGCCTGGGCAAATTCAGTGTGTAAATTTATCTCTCAGATTTGTCTAGAGATTACCCGAAAAAGCAGAGACCTGATAAAACCAGTCCTTGTTCTCCCTTCCTTCCCCCCTCCTTTTCTTTCTTCTTTTCTCTTTTTGGACTTTAGGTTACATCAGGAAAGCTCAGGCAATTGAAAATATAATGTCAAATATAGGAGATTGAAGAAAACAGTATGTTGAATGATGGGTGGAAGCTGATTAGACAGATGAGGTAAATGTTTGTCCTGAAGGATAACCTTATCCTCTTACGCAAGTGTGAGCACTCTGAAAAAAAAACTTTCTACCTAGAATCCTCTGAGTCAATAATTCTTTCTTGAAAAAAATCCAAGCATGATTAAAGGTCAGTGATTTTTGCCTTAGAGTCACATATGCAAGCCTGTTTATATAGAAATAGATTTTTGGCATCCTAAAGGTGTCTCCCTTCCACTTTGCTTTATAACCAGTGCCCTGGTTTCCTAGTATACTAATTCCAGGGATAGTTTTCATAAGTTTGTAACTTCTCCATAAGATTTTATCAGTCTTTTAGTCCTCGATGTTGTACTCTCTGGCTTCATTGGCAGCCTCATAGGTGTGGTCTTTTAGAATTGCTGTTCAGTGCCATGTCTACTTTATTCCATCGTAATATTAAGTACCCAAACATATAGTTCTTGGTTGGCACCACTCTAGGTTGCCAAACCCTCATGTTGAAAATGCATTCCATGGAGCTGCTTCTCTAAGGCAGTCAATTCTGTTTTAGTTTTCATTTCTCAGATTTTGAACTGTTTTTTTTCTCCTCCTGCGTCTGGGGCCAATTTGGAAGTGGCCAAAATA